CACACCCCCCGCCCCCGCCCCCGCCCCCCCCCCCCCCCCCCCCCCACCCCCACACCCACACCCCACACCCCACACCCACCCCACCCACACCCACACACCCTCAAGTCCTTAGATTCTTCTTTCATAACTCAATCGAAAGAAGCTCTACCAATCTAAGTCTAATCAAAGCCAAAATCCTGAACAAAAGAAATTATCCACAGTCAGCGTATCAAAAGGTTACTCCAGCAGCCAATCGTATCATTCAATGTTCATACAAATAACAAAAACATTTGTACAAATCTCATATGACGCTCTGAATCTGAACTCTTATATGATACAACTTATTCGAATTCTTCTTACGTAGATAATCACACATTTACAATCTAAAACTTCATTCACTCTTTTGGTTTTTTTAACTTCAATTCAATATATAACGGAACGACACCAATTGTTCATCGTGTCATTTATGTCAGACACATAGCAAAACTCCATCGATTCCAAGAAGTTCAGCATATTCCTTCTATGCCAAGAATTTCTAGATAAAAGCTTACTTAAAAGTGATATATAGTCATAATAATGTAGATCATCTTTGAATCATCTGTGTATATATTAAGTTAGAACCACCCGATGAGATCCTTAGCCGGATCGAAATCGCTATCGTGATAGCTCATACCCACCCTCACACTCTGATGAGACTCTTAGCCGAGTCGAAACGCAACGTGGTATCTACTGGAAATTCCGCAAAATTTGGTTTTTGTTTCTAAACTCAACCCCACCCCCCCTCCATGGGGCTTTGAACCAAATAGAGGTCAGATTCGAATTCTCCGCATCGAATTAACCCTACAGAACCATTTTCCTAAAAACTCGATTTCTACTGGTTCCCGGCCCCACCAATCAAGGCACGAACACCCGGACAAACATTTAATGCTGTGAAGACTCATCCTTTCAGGATTGAGAACATCGAAAGCATGATTGTGCTAGCTCCTACTCACACAAAGATAGTCGATGTGTTTACCGTTCACTTCTATATGAAAGTTTATTCGCATATATATGTATTGATGGATATCTTTCATCAAGCGGTGGGGTGAGGGTGTCGGTGCAAAAGAGGCTTACAGGCACAGCGACGCCTCAAGCGCAATTCGCTCCAGTGAAAATGATATAAGCAATTGTCTGGTAAGGTGGCATAATGCTGAATGAATTCACATGACCAACTGAATCTGTTGACCCTTGCATTGAATGAGAATGAGTGCCATCATAGTTGAGGGTTATTCCAGTTAGTCCCCGCGGAATACCGTGCTGATGGGCTGAATGCCACATGCCGACACGGCCACTGCCGGCGCTGTGGCTGAAGGCATGACCGCCGGCAGTCGTGATGTACCCGTGTTGTTCCGTGGAACCTCCATGATTATGGCCTGGGTCATTGACCGTATGTTTATGTGAGCCTGCATTGGTAGTGTATAATGTACCAGCACTATGGTGATGAGTAGGCATTTGATCAATTGTTAGTGTCTGTTCTTTATTTCCTCCTTTTTTCCAACGGTCTTCCTGACTTGTGATTGGATTGAGACCTAGTGGGAAACGGTCGCGAAAATCAGGCAAACGGAAATGCGTCTCTCCTTCATCTCCCTTTCCGTAGAGTGTGCCGATGACATTGAACAATGTAGAATACTGAACGCGGGGTAGCAGAGCGCCATCGCAGATTAGCCAGTTGAAGGGAGGAGACAACGCACCAGCAAAGAGGCGGATCTCGCCAGCGAATATAGCCGATGAACGTGTGGCACCCACAATGACGGGACTGTTCAGGGCGCTCACTCGTCGTGAAATGGCACCATTTTGCTTCTCAGCAAACATGTGCTTACTTATAATGGCCACCTAATTTAGAAAAAGGATTTTGTGATGATTTGAGACGTAAAAAAGTGATAGATTCACCTGAAGTTTGTCCGTCAAATCCGTCAATTTGAAAACCCAAAACGATTTAGGCACAAATTTTTCTCCCGTCCATTCGATTTCCATTGCATCCTGTGCGACACGATGTTGAATGTCACTGGCTGATAGGATATCGTGCGTTGTCTTGTCATCGTTTCGACTTGATGCTTCATTGTCTGTCTGAGAATGAGAGCCTGATGCACTAAAGGCCTTGAAGCCAATGCTTTTACTTGAACTGGACGTACTCGATGACGAATGTGCTCTTTGAGAATTAACATTAAAGAAGATATCTGTATTGTTCTGCTCTCGAGTTGCCGTGTCATTAAGAGTGAACAGTTTGTTCAATTCATTCGTTAGACGATCAGGATTGAGATCAGCCGAATGCCACACTTGATCGTAGTGTTTTGCGGAGAGTTGTATTTGCGTGGCACTATCGATTCCTACAGAAAGACGCAGATTATTGTAGTTATGGATAAAACTGTTTTGGGCTGCACGATATTATGAGTGCTCTCAGAAATGTATGCAAAAAAAGGAGAAAAGATTTCATTTTCGAATTTTGACATCTGTTCAAAATATACGCTTTTTACTTTAGATATTGTTATAGTAAGAGCAGTCTTGTTATCTACCATCTCCAAATCAATCTGCTAGATAGAGCTATTTCATTCGCAACACACAAATTTTTGATAACCTATTCTTTTGACCATGCAAGACACTATTTCAAATGAAGAGATTCGTTTTGTGTGCGAAGAATAAATCTGGAACACAAGCAGCTATCACTAAGCTGCTCTTTATATTTAAGATAGCAATATGAGGGAAGAACTATATCAAAACCAAAAAGTTGTTTTGTCGGATGTGCTGCCTTCTCCTATGGCTTTTCCAGAAACATGTAGTTTTCGTGGAGTGTACAGGATCTTTTCAATATGCGTGTTCGATAGCGGAGATATTCATCTAGAGTCTAGTCCAATCGAAATGTCTCGGTTATCGAACACGTATATTGAGAAGATCCTGCATTCTCCTCGAGAACTAAAAGTTTCCGGAAAATCCATGAGAAGACGCTGAAGATTGGACCAGAAACGTTTTTATTATGATAGAGATATTTTCCTCATATTACCTTCTTGAATGCAGAAGGCCGTTTCATGCTAACTGCTTGCGTTCCAGAATTGTTTTTCTCGCATTAAACGAATATCTTAATTTGAAATGGATCATATAGTCGAAAAATCTTTTCTCTTGAAGAAAAAAAAATCGAGAACGTCGTGCCATAGTGACACCGTCGAAAAGGAGATTTTACCTTGTTGAAATAGAGCTTGAAACTGTTCATCGAGCCCATTTGTTAGTACTGACACATCAACACCTGGCTTCTCCATGTAGATCAATTTCTTGACATTCGCGGAATAAATGCCAATAAACTTGTTCGCCTGTGTACGATGTATGTATTTGGCATTTGAACTTCCTCCGTCCGCTGTCGTCTTACTGAATACAGATTTCAAATGTTCACCCGTAATCGAAGCAATGTTCGATGACACGTGCTTGAAACCAGCAAAGTAGAAATTAATTTCAACTTCGTAGTCACCATCGAGCAATTTCTCAACAATCTCATGTGTCGTATTCTCATTCGAACATTCGTAGCGAAATGTAATAGCAAGGGCACTCGGATGCATGAGTCGAAACGGCGCAACACCTTCCACCGGATCTCCGCTCATTTTGACAATGAAAGCGGTCATTAAATCGATCATCAGTGGAGCAACAACCCAAAAGCGAGAATAGTTCGAGGTAACGCCGGCATCGAATCGACGGCTAATAGCACGGCGCGCTGCATCTTCGACTTGATCAGTGCCCAACATTAGTTTCATTCGAACTTCTTTCTTGGTCGACCATACCCATTCAGTCGTATTCGATGGTTTAAGAGGTTGAAGAACAGGTACATAATAAAAGCTCCATTTTAATGGTCGATGTTCGTATTCATCATTCAACTTTGCGCTGTAAACATAGATTTGATTACCTTCGTAAATAAACTGAGTAAAATGTTGAACGTTGACAACAGCATCACCAAGACTGGGCGATGAGCTTCGCTCCGATGTTTGATTAGTGAGGTTATTCTTGGATGCCGTGATAGTGGTACACATGAACAGAAGCAGCAAGCCGAAGGCGAGAAACGACAACATCATGTAATGTTGCTGAGGAGAATGACAATATTTTACCAGTCTTATCTCATTCAATATGATAGGCTTTAGAGAATAGTTTTCTCTTTGCCGTCCAGAAATACATTTATCTGTAGTAAGTATGTACAGAACGCACACTTTTTCTGACAACGAGAACACGACAATTTTCTTTCATGCAATGTATCATAGCTAGACGGCGAGAAACACACAACAATACTGCCATTCCTTAAGACATTCTCTTGACGAACCACAACATACATCACTTCTCCTTTTTTCTGTTTACATGTTGTCCTCTTTCTTTACTGTCCGGGGTCATTAAGGACAAAAATTAGAGTCAACACGTACAAAATTAAAAATTAATTATAAGTATGAGTTATGAATATTATCATAACATGACAAGTAATCAGAAGGATCGTATATGTAATGGTGATGAATTACAAGAAGCAATTAATCAATTAGAAGTGAATACTAATCAAAATGTCAATACAAATAGTTCCTTAAAAAGACATGCAACAAGATGATGTATTTTCTTCGAATAAAAGTTTAAATAAAATTGCAAAGATTACATCATTTTGATCAAGCGTCCGCAAACCATCTGCATTTCCAATGAAATTCCGTAACAAAAACTACTCAAAGTGTATTTAACTCACTTCTTTTACAAAGTTATTTTTAGAAAACTCCATAGTCAGATAGATCTTTTCAAAAACTATCGAATGCACTAGTTTTTATTAAGATTTGGTTGTGTCTTTGTGCATTTAAAAGAAAATACTTCGTTACGAAATTTCATAAGTATACAAATTTTAGTTGTGTTTACAGTATCAAGCGTTTTTCACTGATTTTATTTGTAGATATGGGGTGGGTGTGGGTGTGGGTGTGGGTGTGGGTGTGGGTGTGGGTGTGATTGTTCTTCTTCCAACCAAACTGACACCCACACCCACATTATCGTGCTCGCGTCGATACTTATATTTTTGAGGATGAATGTTATGTGGGTTTAAGAAGT